TGTGTGTGTGTGTGTGTGTGTGTGTGTGTGTGTGTGTGTGTGTGTGTGTATGTACGGTTAAGGCTATTTCCTGGTGAATAATTGCTACAACTCCTCGAGACCCAAGTTCCTGTGTCTTGCTTGTCACCTTGGGATTAAAAGAAGAGGGTTAAAAATATTCTGTCTAAATTCTTATTGTCGGTTAAACGGTTAATTATTGACACCCTTAAAACTAATCTCAGCCTTCGTCTCTGTGAGCCTAGTAGTCATCAAGGCAGTGTTTGATCTAAACTTGAAACAGCCCAAGGTTAACGGCAGAGCCTGCAGTGGTTTATTCAGCCCTAAGCTGCTCGTGAAATGGCAGTGAATGAGAACGCCACACTGGCGAGGGCCCAAATCCCTCTGTAATTATAATCACACCCTCCTCGTCTCTGGGTCAGACTGGAGTCCTGTCAGCGTTTTGTTTTCTGCTCTGGTCCTGGGCTGTCCAGACCGCTTTAATACCCCCCTCACACTCTCCTCTTTACACCAACGTGTTCACTGTGGGCCGCGCCATTCTCCCATTCAGCTGCCTGAATGACGATGCTGCTGCATACTGGCTAACTGCTGACTAATGATGGACCTCTCGCTGGCCTCAGCTGAGCATTGCAGCGGTGGGTCGGAAAACGATACCCGTCGACACTGTGCTCTTACCTCGCATCAGCAGAAGTCAGAGGTATTTGAAGAATAAAATGTTGGATTCCTCTTGAGAAGTGTAGTCTTCTTATTCGTGATAGTTTGAGAGTGACATGTGCCCCGCTGTCTAAAGATTTAACCATGTTAATGGTGGTAGTATTTATACATTTTTAATATTAAAAGCTTGATGATTCATTGGATATTTATCATAGTCCCACAAAATAACTAGAGATGCACCGAATGCAGTTTTCTTTCTGGCTAGAGGAAGATCACCAGGGAGCTGAAAATCTTCTTGCTGTTGGCTATATTGTATGACGGTTCAAGTAAATAACGCAATATAAAACTTGTATTTTAAAAGGACAAAAGTAGTACAAAGCTGGCTAGTACTATCCGAGTACTCACCCATCGTTTGGTTAGGTCTCCAGTACGATGTCGAGTGTGGGTCACCACCAGTAGAACTCCTGTTCGCTGTGTGAATAACTGCAATACTTAAAAAGCGAACCAAAACAATTATGCATGTGCTTTTATAGATCGTAGTAAAGTTGTGACAGGATGCATATTGAGTAAACAGGGCTGTCTCATTCATTCATTCACACAACTTAACAGTGACTCGTGTGTCAATGATCACTGTAAGGGAATGATTATCAACACCAAACTTTATTTTTCTTTTATATGTATTACACGACTATAAAATAGTAAACAAACAACGTAGCTATTTACTGGCTTGTAGCCAATTATTTAGCCTTTTCCATCACAAAGGGCTGTTTTGGGATAAGGCATGTGAGGCCCTCGTCGTGGTGGGGCAGATCTGGTTGAGGATCGGCAGAGGTTCACTTTGGGGGCATTGTGTGACGAGGGCGGCTTGACAACCACAGGTGCTTTCCCTGTGCGCGTAGGTTTTCCCCATCATGGTTTTAATGTGCATGTAGCACCAGCCTCAGATAAGCAGACGGGTTTCCGCGACGCAAAGTATCAAGAGAGTAAAGAAAAAACATTCATTTAATCAACGTTAATCTACCGTCCTTTGAATAACGATCCATATGTTGTAGAGAGAGAGAGAGAGAGAGAGAGAGAGAGAGAGAGAGAGAGAGAGAATTGAAAGTACACGAGAAAGGGGATGTTGTCACTCAAAAGTGGATCATCATGTGATGAGATAACTGATGTGCCATTGTCGGCTTCGTGTTCAACTGAGTGTTAAACTTTCTCCAGTTACAGCAACATGCAGGGGGGACGTCCTCCTCTCAGAAGCTTAAGAGTCCCTAAACCCATGATTCATGGTGCTTTCTCTAGTTGTTTCCTACCTGTTTTTTTTAAATTTATTTTTTAGGGTCTGACTTAAGAAGTGAAATGGAAATTTCATTAGAAATCCCTGATTACTGTTCCACTCAACGCACATCCTGAATCACAGCGGAGTTGCACTTTGCAGCAGTGCTGCTCCTCTCCTCTCTGGGTTTAACTGATTCTTCTCTTCTTGGCTCTTGACGTTTGTCTCTGAGGAAAATCTAATCGGAACTGTATTTAAACACGCCTCCTGTTCTTGCCACAGCCTGTTCACACCAAGTCCAAAGAAACACTCGGGCCGGTCGTCCACCCAGACATCCAACAATCCTTCTCATTGCTGCTGTTTTCTGCGTCCAGGTGCATGATGATCCTACTGTGCTGTAGCTGTCGCAGCTAGTCAGGTGCCGCACCATGGCCAAACCTGGGAGCGACAGAGATGGAGCCATGGTGGATAAACAGGCGGGGAAGAAGGTATGTGAGCACAGACACAGAAAAGCACTAAAAGCAACACTTGAGCGAGGAGCGATCCACATTCTTCTTTGTGTTTTCACTTTGTCTTCCTTGGAGGTTCGGAGTTCTTGACTTTGAAAACAGTAGTTGACAAAACATGGTTCATTTAGAAGCTGTTCTGGATCTCAAGTCATCTTCACCCCTGGCTTGTATTTGAGTTTTGTTATTTATCATATGTAACATAGCATCTAACCTCCGAGCTACGTCATTCTCTGTATATAGTCGCGCAGGTGTGCAGTGCACAATATCCTATCTCACAACTTGCTGTACCAAAACCTACTTATTTCTCTCTTTCTTCATAAATGACAGAGACCATTTACGTCTGCTTTAATTTTTTCATTTTTCTCATCTTAACCCTCCTCTACTTTCAACACTGCCAGACACTTCAGCTTTGCACAGCTGGCACATTGCTTCACTGAGATCAAAGAAGCACCACACTGCAGACATTTTTCCTCCTGCCAGAAATGTATTTTACTGCACCAAAGTGAACTGAAAAAGCTTTGTCTGCAAATCAGAGTGCAAGAACCCGGTAACTAGAATTGTAAGAGATTGTGATAATACAGATATATTGTTGGTGTAATGTTTGGGCCTGATGCAGTGGGCGCTGTCAGCAACTGGAGCATGTTCCTACTTTTCTTTTAACCCTACCGTACTTTCAGAATCCGGATAGCCTCTCTCTATACACATGCAAAATATAAGGAAGACGCCATTAATGTAATAAGTCTATTATTACTATTATTGAACACTACTATGGGAGTTTGACTGGCACACTTCAACAAGCTTAGTACCATTAGAATAGACTTCTTTCTCTTTTGTATTTGTAAACAAAAAACAACCTTGTCACTCCTGATCTGTTTCTCTTCACTTGGCAGAGACCCTGCCTTGGGAATAAGAATTTTTTACTGAGTCATGCAGGCAAACCTGCTGCCTGCAGGACCTAAACAGTATCTTGCAGAAACACCGAGCCTGTAATATGATCGTCTACACTTTGTTATATTAGTGTCATGTTTTAGGAAGCTTTAGTCCATCTGAAAGACTACCTGCACAATGAGCTCAACCCTTTTGTTGTTAAGCTAGTTAACAAAGCTTTTTAAATGGGACCTCCTTTGTTTATCTACTGTCACAACTGTTTTGTTTACACACACACACACACACACACACACACACACACACACACACACACACACACACACACACACACACTCGAGTCACGAATGTGGCCACACCTTTTGCTGTGTTTTGAAATGGCCTGATTTTTGTTTATTCTTTTTCCTCCTCACCTCTCACAGAGCAAAGACAAGTTGTCCCCTTTCACCAAAACTCCGAAGCTGGACCGGAGTGAATTGCTGGGGAAAGAAGGGAAAGCCAAGTCTTCCATGAAGCGCAAGCTCTCCTTCACTGCCAGTCCGCTCAGGACCGAGGAGCGAGACTCAGACACCGGTAAGAGCTGTCGCTGCTCCTCCTCTCAACAGCCACGCTGCTGGCTGGCTGCCATGTCCTCACACTGCCCCCCGATGGCCTGTTGGTGAACGTTTTCTTTAGAGACCGTCTGTAGGTCAATAGGTTTCTACTTGTTTTGCATCAGGATCAAAATCTAAAGACTGCGTTGATGAAGTTGTGGCCTGTTTTGTTGAATAATAAGATATAAAAAAACATGTATTATAAGACTTGAGAAAAAAAGTTTCCATTGTCCCGTTGTCTGTAGTAAAAAGCCTTGTATATCTTTATTCCTCTGTGCAATGAACCTCCATTCTTGCCCAAAACAAATGAACCAATGAGCCATGCTGTTGCACTGGGTGGTGTATGTCGACTCAATCCCACGTACACCATCGTGGTGCTGTAAATTCCAAGGGCACCACATGTAAATGAACCCACCGCTGAAAATAGTCCCCAGAAAAATGCACTATTCACTTACCTCTCTTACTTGTGTAAATACACTACTCTGCTTCTGTCATTTAGAAGTTTTAACTGTATGTTTACGTCAGAGAACTAAAAGTAGGTGTCTCATTCAGCCATAATTACAAATGAGGTCCAGTAATTTGTTATACAGACAGTTTAAGGTCCTCTGAATTTGCCTTCATCTGCTCTGTAGAGCATTTCATTGTGTGGTCCTGTGTCAACCTACCAGACGACAACCCTCAATTTTGAAATCACCGAGGTTTAGTTTATGTTGCACAGGTTTTAAAGCTAAACTAGCGTGGAGGGCGTCCAGCAGAATGTTCCTCTCCGGTCCTGTGTTGAGCAGGAAAAGTAATGAATCCACTGACCACGTAGGATCTTCTCTGCTGTGTTGCCATGACTCATAATCTGTGCGTGGAGTCTTTGTGCCTGCCTATGAGAGAGAGAGAGAGAGAGAGAGAGAGAGAGAGAGAGAGAGAGAGAGCAGTGCTTTCCCACCCTTCCACCTCCCCCTTGCGCTCCCCTCCCTCCTCTCTCCCCTCACCATCCTCTCTGCTTTGCACTGTAGATGACTCAGACCCAGGCCAGTCGAGTGAGACCTGGGGAGAGAGATTAGTGCCTCCCTGCAGGATATACGCAGGTAAACGCTGCAGCCCGATCCTCAGCCCTCGTGTCCTCCACAAGTCACCCACTTAGCGCCACTATGCTGCTGTAAACACACGCACACACACATGCACGTGTGTGTGTGTTTTCGCCCTGCATTTGCCCCCCGTTACAGCTCATGCATGTCTGTGTTTAGTAACGACCGACGGAGACGGGGGTGGGGGAGGGCGGGCGGGCACTTGGCTGGCTTAAGAGAATGCCGTCTTCGTTTTCAAACCTCCATGCTTGTCATCTGTTTCTCTGCATTCTCAACAGATACAAGGAAAAGAGGAAAACGGTGTCACTGCGACGATGAAATTGCTGCTGGATGTTTGTTTTTTTTCGTTCTGTTTTTTGGACGGTTCCCTAACATCTTTCTTGGTTGTGTTGCAGATAAAGATGGACCAGAGAAGAAGAAGGTGAAAAAGGAGTCTGGGGGCAAGAAGTCTCAGGCTCCCAACCTTTTGTTTGGGTATCCTCTGTCGGAGCGTAAACAGATGGCTCTCCTGATGCAGATGACTGCCAACAGTCCAGGTTAGTGCACCCGCCCTCTCACCTCAACCACCATCTTCAAGATGCCTCCGTGTATTTACTGTTGGATTCTAATATTTCAACGTTGCTTGGTTGGGAATAAGGCAATGCGTCATGTTTGACGGAGCTGCTCAACTGGAAAGAAAGCTGTTCTGTATCATTTGCCAGTGATGTTGTGCTATTGCCATCAAATATGTAACCAGAGAAGTTGAAATAATCTTTCCGCAAATAACAGGATCTGAGTAGTTGTAAGACGAGTAAAACAAGTACTGACCTGCAGAAAATACACACAAAGACACAAGTAAGCACAGGATTCTAGTGTCATTGTTGTTACTCAAATGATTATTAAAGGACCAGTTTGACATTTTGGGAAATATGCTCATGCTATGAGTTAGATGAGAAGCTTGATGCCACGCTCATGTTTGTCTGTTCAATATGAATCTGGGGCCAGCAGCCACTTAGCTTTGCATGAAGACCAGAAGACAGAAGGTAACAAAATCCACCTTCCAGCACCTCTAAAGCTCACTGATTGAAAAAGTTTGTAAATGTTTGTTTAAATGGAACAAAAACCCCAGTGTTTAAAGTGAGGGCTGCACAATATGAGGAAACGATGCGGTTATTTCTAACATTCTTTTATTGAATGAGTTGCAGTTTAAAGTGCAGTTTTCCACTGAGAGGAACTATTTGTTTTATCTTTTGGATAGAGCTAGCCTAGCTGAATGCAGGCAGTTATTTCCACCTGTGCCAGGCTTTTGCGCCACGCATCAATTAAGTACTTTTCTCTCTCTCTGGCCTGCAGACTCTACTCCCAGTCACCCCTCACAAACGACCCCTGTGCAGAAGAAAGTCCCCAGCAGTGCCTCGTCTCGACAGAAGGACAAGGTCAACAAGAGGAACGAGAGAGGGGAGACTCCCCTTCACATGGCCGCCATCAGGGGAGACGCCAAGCAAGTTAAAGAGCTCATTAGCCTGGGAGCCGACGTCAACGTCAAAGACTTTGCAGGTACGATGCCCCTTGAGGTGATGGTTCAACAGCTTTCATCGTGTCTGTACGGTAGCTTTTTATGGCATGAAGCTGACAGCGGCTTAATTAACAGCTGCCTATTCAAAGGTGACATCTCTAATGGGATAATAAAAACGAATCAGTGTGCATCTCAATACATTCTGTGCACATTTTCTGTGTCGTTTGAATTCTTCATTTTGATTGATTGTTGCTTCTTTTTTTTTCTGTGCTCGCCAGGTTGGACTCCTCTTCATGAAGCCTGTAATCTCGGTTACTACGACGTGGCCAAGGTCTTAATAGCAGCCGGTGCAGAAGTGAACACGCAGGGTCTGGATGACGACACGCCACTCCACGATGCCTCTAGCAGCGGCCATAAAGATGTAAGAGCTTCACAGGAAGTTTGTCCTGCCGCAGAAACGTAGAACTGAAGCTGAAATTACACGTTTAAAAAATCTGATGACGGTCTTTTCTTACAGACTGGACATAGATATAATGTGCCCATATATTTTGACAGTTATGTAGACTGTTAGTCAAAACAGTTAATGCTTGGAAATAATAAATATCTTGAGCTGTTGTCCAGTTCAAACATCCAGTGTGTTTTCCTGTCATAGTTGTTGGTCTTCTAACATACTTATAAACTGCATAACATTACAAAACTTTGCCAATCATTGATCTTAAATAGTGTTTAGAAACAATGAGGATCACACTGTATTAAGAATCAGTTTTCACAATTTTTAAGTCTTTAACATTTGTTGTTTTTCGCTCTTTTTTTCTTCCAACCGTCTCTGTTTCGTATGTTTTGTCTACAACCTTCTCAATCTCCGTTATTGTTGTGTTTTGTACAGATTGTGAAACTGCTGCTACGCCACGGCGGTAACGCCTTCCAGGCCAACAAGCGCGGCGAGCGGCCCGTGGATGTGTCGGACTCTCAGGAGCTGGAGCAGCTATTAAAGGGAGAGGTGCCACTGTCGGACCAAGATGACACCTCTTCAGGTAGGCAGAGAATGCTCTAGAGTTTAGCTGACCTTCCGTTTAAAGTCACTTGTTCTTGATTGACTTTCATTTGTATCGTTTTAAAGTTTATCTTCTCTTCTCTGCAGAGTCTGAAGACCCGCTGTCCATCAATCCATCCAGTGTAGATGACAACTTGGAAGACTCCGATACTGAAAAGGACTCTGAAGGCAAACCGGCCACGAAAGCGTCATCGTCTGTTCCGGGGCTGGACGAGTACGAGTTCAAGGACGAGGAAGAGGAGGAGGATGTCAGTAAAGCCCTGAACGACAGACACGTTCTCCGGAGGGAACTCCGGCAGCGTGAGAAGGAGGAAAAAGATAGGAATCATGTGGCAGGAAAGCAGGCTGGAAAAGGGGATTCCACCTCAAAGTCCAAAAAGCAGAAGGCTTCTCGTGTCCACTGCAGCTCGGATACCTCCAGCGACGAAATGGAGAGCCTTCCAGAGAAAAGGAGTTCCCCCACTTGCTCTCAGAGCTCAGAGAGCCTCAAGGCAGACACAAGGCCTAAAAAGGAGAATGCGGAGCAAAAAGACAAGGGCAAAGTCAAGAAGAAGAGCAAAAGCCAGAATAAGAACAAGGAAAACCAAGAGGACGGGAAAGAGAACAGCAAAACGTTGGTCCTCTCTCTCGCAACCGTGTCCGAGAGCACGGAGAAGGGACGGGAAGAAGACTCGTTCAAGATGTCTTTCAGTCCTAAAGATGACTCATCCGTCCACCTCTTCCATTTATCGTCCATAAAATCTCCAAAACTGAACCACAGCCTGACGGATAAACAAACGCCACTCAAACAGGAAAATACGAAGATGTGCATTTCTATCAATGACGGCTCATGTCCGGTGGACGCTGTCAAATACAACCACTACGCAGAGGCAGACTACTGCACTGAGGGCTCCAGCACCAAGGGGTGTAAGCACAAGGAAAAGAGCAAGCATCAGCAGAAAGACTCCAGCGGAGACGGGGACGATGGCCATTTGAGTCCCGACAAAGACGGTAGCGTAGGAAACAGCGTAGACAGCTCTGAAGGTGCCTTACGGAAGACCGACTTAGACGGCAAAGTGGTGAAGAAGCATAAGCTCAAACATAAGGAGAAAGACAAACACAGGAGGGAATACGAGGCAGAACGCAGCCGCCACCGGCAGAAGGAGGCCAGGAAAGAAGGCCACAGGAATTTGGAGTTTGACCGAGAGTTCTGGAAAGAGAATTTTTTCAAAAGCGATGAGACGGATGAACATCTGCCAGTGAAGAAGGAAGGTGAAGACAATAGTTCACTTCAGAAGACCTCTGAGTCATCTCCTGTCAAAGATGAGAGAAACACGAAGGAGAAACACCCGAGCGGCAAGGAGAAGAGGCCGAGAGAGGAGCGAGAAAAAGACAAGGCGGTGGAAAAAGACAAGGCGGTGAAAAAAGAGCGGAAGGAGGCTGTTGGTAAGGAGGAGAAGGTGAAGGATTCAAAGCCGAGTGAGCGTGACGAGAGAGCGGACGGCCTCGGCTCAGGGCGGATTCCTGACGATTCGCTGCAGAGCAACAGCATGAAAGAGGAGACGGAAGAGAAACCCATAAGTGGGATCACAGCTGATCAAGAACAGCTGGAGCTGTCTGAAAAAGCCTCACGCGATAAAACTGACAAGAGGCTCCCAGGAAAAGAGAAGGATTCCGAGAAACTGGAGAAAAGGCACCCTGACAAGGAAAAAAAGGTTAAAACGGAGCACGCTGACAAAGCTGAAGTACAGAACTCGGTGGATCGTTGGAAGGAAAAAGAAAGAACAGGAACCATTTCTTCCCACTCGCCTGGAGATAAAAACTACAAAGAGAATGAGAAACTGAAATCTATATCCACAACCAAAAAGCATGAGGACAGCAGGAAAAATAAAGATAAGTTCGACAAGCGGTCTGATAGGGAGAGGCAGGACAGAGAATATAGCGTCGGGGATCACAGAGAAAAGGAACGCACCAACTCCGATAGGAAAGGAAAACCTCTCGAGAAGACCGCGGATCACGGTAAATCTGATCGTTCAAAAGAAAAGGACTGTGACCGGAAAAAGAGAGACAAAATAAAAGATGGGACTCTTTCCTCAAGCTCCAATCTGAAGTTACTGTTGGAAGAGAAGAAGAGCTATCTGTCCGAGAGCGGCAAGTCCTTATCTGCAAAATCCAAGGAGGAAGTTGGGAGAACACCAGAGAAGGACCGCGACCGTAGAGACCGGGACAGAGACTCGGATAAACACAAGGACAAGGAGCGGCACAAAGACCGCTCCCAGCAGGCCAAAGTCAGCAAGCCCAAAGCCAACGAGACGGATGCAGACAAGGCCAAGTCAAAAGCCTCGCCAGCAACACGAGACGCCAAGCCCAAAGAGAAAAGGCTTGTGAACGATGACTTGATGCAGACCAGCTTTGAGCGCATGCTCAGCCTGAAGGACCAGGAGATCGAGCAGTGGCATCGCAAACACCTGGAGAAAATCAAACAAAAAGAGCGGGAAAGGCTGAAACAGCGGCCTCTGGCAGATCCAGGGAAGTCCAAGCCTAAAGACCGAACAAAGACCGAACCGTGCCTGAGTAAGGAGCTCATGCGCTCAAAAAGCTCTGAAGCCTCTGATGTCCAAAGCCGGGATAAATCCCTGAAGGACAGTGCCAGCCCCAGAACGATGTCGCTCGATGGGAAGAGTCTGCCTTCCATCAGCGCAAAGGTCATGTCGGCCGTGGAAAACTGTCTGACCAGATCACCCCGACCAGAGAGTGAGCGCGGCGGCTTCATGTCCAGGTCGGTGTCCTTGGTTTCTGTCGCCAGCTCGGAGGATTCGTGCCAGGCGACGACATTAACACCCAGACACGTCGAATACGACTCCGACATGAACCTGGAAACCTCAGACTCTCAGCCTGCGTTTCTCCAGTCTTCCCTCGTAATTCAAGCCACCAGATCGCCGTCGGTCCACGATAAAGATTGCAACAGTCTTCCAGATGTGCCGCAGAGTAATCGGACACCGCTGCCCAGCCGACACGAATCTCCGTACCTCAGGGCTATTCTGGACGAGGATGCCAACTCATCGGCTGAAGGTAAACCTGTTGAAAACCAGCCGAAACCCAGCCAGCCTGCCGAAGAGCTGGGAACAAGGGAGGCCTCGGCAGACACAGAAGAGAGCCTCAACAGTCAACAACAATGTATGAATTCAGTTTCTGATCCAGCGATAGAGAGAGAAGGCAGCCCTCCTGTACTTTTAACAGCACAAATGTTAAACAAAGATCCTCCGAGTAAAAGCCTGACACTTCCAGAGTGCAGCATCTCTCAAACGGAGTCAACAGAACAGAAAACTCTTCCCTCCTCTGACCCTCCTGTCGAGCAGGACATCCAGTGTCCGACAGAGAATTCCCAGGCAGAGTGTAGTAACACGGAGTCGGATCGACCATCGACGCCTACAGCTTGTCTGTCTGCAGAGCCGTCGGAGCTCACAAACGCAAAAACCCTCCAGCAGAGGGAACCGCTCACCGTCTGTGGTGTGGAGAGCGTGCAGCAAACGGAATCGGGTACCACACGTGTTTCCGACCTTAAAGATGAACCTCTCGAGAGTGCTGATGGAGCAGACGAAGAGAGTATGGAAACGGAGAGCTTCAGAACCGAGGGCGGGGGAAGTCCTGTGCCCTCCACCAGTTCGCACATTCCCAGCTCCACAGCGGGGGAGACTTTGCCCGGCTTCAGCCAAACAATCGCCGAGTCTAAATGTTTCCAAGAGGATACGGATGTAAATGACCCGGACTGCAATAGCTCAAGACTTCATGGTGACGCTGCTGCTGCTCCATGTCTCGATGTGGAGACGGAGAAAAAGGACGGTACACCTCCGATGTCATGCGATAGTGTGAGCCCTGAACACAAGGCCGAAGAGATGACCGACGTCCCACAGAGCTCAGAGATGGACAGCAGCGCTGCCGTTTCTGTTATAACGGAGTGTCCATCGGCTGAGTACAGCACGGCCACAGAGGGCTCTTCTGAATCTACAGCAGACACCAGCTCGGAGCCGATGGAGGTGACGCCTGCCGACGAGCAACCAGAGTCGTCTTTAGCTGGAGAAGAGCAAAGTCAGAGCACCGTCCAATCGGCAATTCAGACCGACAGCAACAGCAACAGCAGCAGCGGTAGCAGCAGCGGTAGCAGCGGTAGCAGTGGTAGCAGCGGTAGCAGCAGCAGCAGCAGCAGCAGCAGCACCTGCAGCGCCTCAGGGAGCTGCTCTCCACAATCTGGAGACCGGGATTCAGATTCTTCCGGGGCTCGGGTCAAGGTTCGCTCTGCAGACGAGGATGCGGACGTCCACGTTTCCCACCCGCGCAAGAGGAAGATGCCTAGAGCGTCGGGCTCCCAGCCGTACTCCGTGACTCAGCAGGACAAGGAGCGAGGCCAGCAGTCTCTGGCTGCCATCGTGGACTCCGTAAAGCTGGAGGAGATTCAGCCCTACCAGACCGAGAGGGCCAACCCGTACTACGAGTTCCTGCACATCCGGAAGAAGATCGAGGAGAAGCGCAAAGTCTTGTGCAGCGTAATCCCACAGCCACCTCAGTATTATGATGAATATGTGACATTCAACGGCTCCTACCTCTTAGATGGAAACCCGCTCAGCAAGATCTGCATACCAACAGTGAGTTCCTCTTCATTCCTTTTCACATCATGGGTAGATTGGGCCACAACTAACAGCTATTTTTATTATAGAGTGTTATTTTCCCGTCCTATTCGGTGTATTTTAGCCCCGGTCAAAAGTGAGACGTGGTCAGTAACTTTCCCCTTCGTAATGTTACCGCACAAGATGCGTCTATTTAGATTGTTCCTACCTCATCATAAGCTCTTTTTAGATAAATAAACACAAAGAATTTCTTTGTTTGATTGTAAAAACCTGGACTGAACACAAAACAGACCAGAACTTGAAGGATTCTATATGTATTATTTCCCTCTGTGTTTGAACAGATAACTCCGCCTCCATCATTACCTGAGCAGCTGAAAGAGATGTTCAAACAACAAGAGGTGGTCCGCATGAAGCTACGACTACAACACAGCATTGAAAGGGTTCGTAGTGGAGCTCGAGTTACATGCTATACATTTTTAATACCGCATGTAATATTGGATTTATTGTATTCATTTGACTTATTTTTCTCTCTTCAGGAAAAACTGATTGTTTCAAATGAACAGGAAGTCTTACGCGTCCATTACCGGGCAGCAAGAACACTAGCCAATCAGACGCTGCCGTTCAGTGCCTGTACAGTTTTATTGGATGCTGAAGTGTACAACATGCCTCAAGACGTCCAGGTGAGAGTCATCAGATCACCAGTCCCGTGTTTTGTTTTCAGCCTGTACTTGATGATAGTAAGCAGAAATACTGCATGTTTGATAAGTTGTTGTGCGTTTGGTTCACAGAATGACGACGGCAAAACGTCAGTCAGAGACCGATTCAACGCCAGGCAGTTCATGTCCTGGTTACAAGATGTCGATGACAAGTTTGACAAACTGAAGGTGAGATCGCTGTGACTGTTGTCTGTCTTCACTGCCCACCTCCATTTAACAATTCCTAAGACTCGCCACAGAGTAAGGAGTGATCTTTGATGTTTATTAATTAATACCAAAAATGGTTATAGATGTTTCTCTTGTTTTTTTCCTCGTCAAAGTTGCAGTTTATTTTTGCTTTTTAGCCCTCAAAAACACCCGGTTTGATTTTTCCTGAGGCTGCTTCCTCATCTCTAGATTTAATCTAAAAGAGGATCCAAGAAATAATGTAATGCAGTATAAGTACACATCATACTTCTAGCCGGCCACTGGTCCTGCATTTACTTGCACAGATAAATGTAGCTGGCCTTGCACCTCGGTTCTTATTCATGTCGAGCTGTTTACGTGAACGTTTAATGGTCTGTTAAATGGATGAATGTGTCACACAGCCATGAAGAGGTGCTGCCTTTCTGTGAACTGAGCAAAAAAAAACGTTTCATTACAGAACAAATTAATGATTCTATCGGTAATCAGCTTGGTGTTACTGATGAAAGGAATCATCCTTCAATCGGAGAGGAATCCTGGCAAGAAGGCCAGACTCCTCAGCGAATGAACTCGACATCAGGAAACCCCCAAAATAATGGATAAAGTTTGAAGTCGGGGCTGGCGGCAGTCTATAGCTGAAAACCTGAACAAACAATTGTGCGGTCGATGTTTTTCTTTGCCCATAAACTGATCTCCTGAAAGAGTTCAGTTTGATTCCCTCCCTTCTTAAACTGTAAACACTCTGGATGCCAAAGTTTATCGGGTTATCCTGCTGTGTTTCTTTGATTTTATCACATTACAGTTGTAACCTGAATGTGATGCTCTCTTTGAAAAACCTGTAGAACCGTAGTACAGAGGTTTTACTAGATGTACTCATTCCTCCTGTTCATACTGGCGATTGAGATATCCCTTTTAAAGTAAGTGATGGGGAACAACATGTACAGTCTTTTATGTGCAAAAATATATTTAAAAATGTATGAGGTTAATGCAGCCTTTTCCATGTGAAATTCCCTTCTTTTTGTTACCATCTCTCCACTGTTGCTCAACAGGAAACGCTAACAGGGAATTTTATACTGCAGCATCTTTGAGTCCAACAGCAGGATGGAGGATTGTGACAAAACATTGTGCTCTCCTTATGCCTGCTAGCTTTGGTTGCTTTTGTAAATGTTTGCGTTTGTCGCAAAAAATATAGACGTTCTCAATCGCAACAAGGAACATCTGGTTGGATAAAATAATAAATGTACATTTTCCCTCCACAGACGTGTCTTCTGATGAGGCAGCAGCACGAGGCGGCGGCCCTGAACGCCGTGCAGCGTCTGGAGTGGCAGCTCAAGCTGCAGGAGCTGGACCTGGCCACCTACAAGTCCACCAGCATCTTCGAGATTCCAGAGTTCTACATCCCACTGGTGGAGGTCAACGACGACTTCGACCTCACCCCGATATGAGCTCTTGGACAGACGTGCTTCGCCACGGCGTCCGCCGCATCACGGACACGAGAGGCAGCCCGCACATTCGAAGAAAAGGAAATGAAAATGTGAAGCACTTAGAATGTGGCGGTAGTAAAAAAAAAAAAAAGTGATGATTTGACTCCAGCAAACTTACAGTCCAGACCGGCGCGCCCACCACGAGGACGGGGAAGGAAGGCCGACTGTTCCTCGTGGAGAACGAGGGGTCCAGGCCACAGGTGAAGCCCAGGGAGCAGAGACCAAAAGCTGGGGCGGGACGGCAGTGTGGACGACAACCACCTGCTCCTCATCGACACACAACTGAGAGTTCAATTGTTTTCAAAGTGAGTGTTCATACATTGTGTACAGACTGTGCTCTTAATTTTTTAACTTATTTTATACATAAAACAATTGTGCATTTGTAAATAGCCATGTAATTATTGTTTTAAACTTGTAAAAACAAAAAATAATAGATATTTTGATTGTAAACTTGTTCTGTCTCATGTTTTAATGGACCAAAGTTGGTTTTTATATCAAGCGTCCTCTTCGTCCGTGATGTTCTTGTTGTTGTTGGCTTAAAATCTTAAGCATGTGTTTGCTTCTGTTGTGTTTTTTGTTTTTACCGTTTCTTCCTTCCTCACCTGGAGTTCCACGCCACAGCTGGTGTTTTTTGACTTTGGCAATTAAATGCTGTGCATGCGTTGCGTTGTTTGTACTTTTTTCCCCAAAAAGCTGTACTGTGTACTTAATTGTGAGGTTTACTGACGTGCTCCAGCTTTTTATTTTTTTTTTCTTCTTCTTTTGCGCCATTGTGTTCTGTCCCTCTCTGCGGCCTCACTCCTCATGTGTTGTCCATTGTGTCTCGAGCACATTAAAGTCTGTTGTGGCTTCCAAGGGGAAAAAAAACATACTTTTACAGTTTCAATGTGAGATCACAACAAAACCTATTTTTTCAACATAATGCCTTTTTGAACGATAGTTCTAAAAAATGTCTATTTTAATATTTACTTGTTACATGACATGTACATATTTGTAATATATAATTGAATAAATTTTATTTGTTGTGAAATTAAGTGTTTGTTTTGGTGTCATTCATGTTAAGGTTGCACAAGAAATTGTAGCTGAAACAATTAATAGATGAGTCAGTAAGTCGATGAACAGTTTTTATTATTGGTTATAAGTGTTTTAGTTGTTTATCGTGCTACAATGCAGAACTGGTTTCAGTTTCTCAGAATTCAGGATTTAGGGTTTTTCAATTAAAAGATGAATTGTTGATTAAGATAATCATACCTGGCCGCCCAACAAGAAATTATTTTAACATTTCAAATCCATCTTTAGTTCTTCTCTTGCAGCGGTGTTCTCCTCAGCCAGCAGATGGCGCTGCACACAACACGGATCATGCAGTCAGTTCATTGAGCTTGCTGTGACAAATACTGATCAGATTGTAGTCGACCTCCTTAAATATCAAGTTATCTGTCATTCATAGTCGGTGACTTTAACATTATTAAACAGCTGCTTACATATTATTGCATCAGTTCTAAATGATAAAAAATCTCACCGCTGAAGCTTTGCATTGTGTACTTTTACATTTGATACTTTAAGCACATTTTGCTGCTTACAAACGTCTGTACTCTTAAGTAAAATATTTTCAATGCAGATTTTTAACGTGTATTGAGTGTTATACAACTTTATCGTTACTTTTACTGAAGTAAAATAACTTGAAACTTCTTTCACCTTATGAGACAAAAATTGCTTAGTACACAAACGTATACTATGTACTGCACGTTGTTGGGTATTCATTGCATTTAGATAATCAACTGCAGGGGCTAATGCAACGTTTCAAGTATAAAACACCTGCTTTGTAGTTCATTGGCCTCAAGGAGAGAAGCACCATCACCTCACTCAGACGAAACATGTTTATCTTGTTTTACTCCCGTTTGCATCAACAAGGCTAGACTTAATGAGAATTTCCCCTAAAATAAGACGAAGCAAGCAAGAACGACAACGAAGTTTGAATTAACTCCATTATAAACCGTGTATTGATGATTTATTGCACTGATGTCATTAACTGGCCACTGAGTGTATTTTAAAAAGTATAACCTCCACCTGGAACAACACCAACATAACTTCATGATTCAAACTCAAAAACTAATTTTATAAGGTACAAGAATAATCTTTACCGTGTTTAAAGATTACAACTTTTTTTTTTTGCTTTGGCTTACATTTACTTTGCCGAAATAAGTTACTCCTGAATCGGATGTCTCTTCCTGGATTCCTCGCTGATCTTCCTGCAGGACGTGGGGCCCGTTGTGTTGTGTTGATGAAGGACAGCCCGTGTTAACACCTGTGGAGTGAAATGAACCATCAGCGAGAAAGTTTCTCCCGCGGCATAGTCCGCTACAAATGAGCTCAAGGGGGGGGGAGGACGCGCCTCAGCACCACTTCACACCACTTCACAGCTTCCGAATCGCCCTTTTCTCACCTAATGAGCTCACTCACAAGGCCGCTGATAAGACAGGAGACAAAGGGACTGTTTAATGGGGTGGGGGGTGGCTTGGGAAAGAACTGCTTATGTAAAAGAGGCTGAAACAGAGCCCACCTAAGCAGGCGGGCAATGACCAGAGTTTGGGGCCAAAAGGAGATAAACGGAGACGTTTTTACGCACAATACATTGGCGCACACAACTCCACAGTGGCGCACATGTAAATGTATCATGGTGCGGTGAGTCGGCTCATGCATGTCCGTTACACTGCAGAGACCCCGGTGTTTGCGTGTGTGTGACCTGAGGCCCGGCGCTCTCCTCCTCAGACGTTGGATTGAAAATGGAGTGTGTGCCTTTAAGGCGCCCGACTGCCTGTCGCTTTCTGCTGCGGAGAGACTGACGCCCTCTGGACACAGTGGACACTTGAGCGGCGGCAGAGGCAACACCATCCTGGAGAAGTTCAAAGAGAAAACAGCCACTCTCCCTCCGAAAAAAGAATAGTCTCGGACTCGTTAACGGCGTTGTGGTGAGTTTGAAACTCCTTCTCTCTTTATTATGTCGCTGTTCTCCTGCGCTCGACTCTCTCTCGTGGCTGCGCGTGAGTGAAACAAAGTTTCGGTGTTGGCGATGTGAGCTCCCCCCCCCCCCCCCCCCAAAAAAAAGGTGAAGAAACGCGTTGGTGACTGAGGGGACTAATGTTTCTCACATGTTTTCTCTCCGTCACGTCAAGTGGAACGATGTGTAAGCAAAGTGGCGAAGGTGTTTAAAAGCAGAGGGTTGAGACGGCGTGTTCACGCGCTGCACTTTGGAAAAAATAGGTGAAAGGAAGCTGATGTTGCCAGATGTGTGTGTTGTTATCCCACAGTAACGCGAGTGAGTTCTGCCTTTGAATGAAATGGGACGCAGGCCCCGCAGAAATGTGATGTTTACATGTCATGTGTGCTTCTAATGCATCACAAAGCCGTGATTTCGATATTTATATATATATATATATATATATATATATATATATATATATATATATATATATACTGTATATATATATGTATGTGTGTGTATATATATATAGGTATTTTTTGGCTGCACTTTGTTGCCCTTTTTAGCATTGAAATTAAGATGTCACACATCACAGTGTGTGAGGTATAAAAACACTATTCAGTATTGTTGTTTAAAATCGGCTCAGGAGTTGATGGATTAAAAGAAGAGACAGATTTACCTTTTGAGATCTGTATTGGGCTAAAAAAAAAATCTCAGAAGTGTAGTTTTAACATCATGCACCCCTTTTGTCATTTTTCATGTCTGCTTATCTATTATGCACCAACTGCAGCTTTTCACTTTTTCCTCCTGTGGAATGTCCGTGATGTTCTTTTGTTTATTGTGCTGGTCCCTGAGGTCCTGTCCTGTGTCTCGTGTTGATGTAGGTGTTTCCAGTGCCGTGCTGGTGAGCTGTCAGGATGAGGCCTGGTCAGCTGATCCTCCCCGCCGCCGCCGCTCTCCTCTTCCTCCTATCGGGACTGTCTCTGACCTCCGGCTGCAACAAAGCCCTCTGTGCGAGCGACGTCAGCAAGTGTCTCATCCAGGTAAAGGGACGTCAAGGTTTTCACTCTCTGTAAACACACTTTCACTGAGAGCGTTGGATTCTTAACAGCCGTTTAACAGCAACAAACAGAACTCCATTCATTATAATCCAAATTTAAAGTATGAAAAAGGACATAAATCCAACATTAAACTACATGCAAATATATGGTTTGCATCTTCAAAGATCCCATATGATTTCTTTAAAAATGTACACAGACTTTGAATTTTTTATTCTCTACATCACTGCTCAAACAAACCAGCTTTGTGGTTGAAGACAGATAATCTGATCTGAGTGCTGATCTTTTTTCTGTAGATTAAAGTGGGAACTTTCGACATGAGTGCAGCCAAATTCAAGCTTTTCATCCAACAGTGTCGCAGCTGTTTTTGTGTCAACAGAGATTGTTCTTTTTCTTCTTGATCAGAACACAAATTAAATGTCGCCTGCAGCCAGAGTTGAGTTCAAGTTAAGAGTCAAAACCCTCTTTTTATACAATTTAAATGAGCATTAAACTGGCGGGACAGACTCAAAACTACACAAGAAAGTACGTCTCCTCTGTTGTAACATCAGTTTTGTGCAAATACTTCACATACAAAACAATACCTAGCCGTAGCCAAAGTTAAGTTACAATCTGTCCAGACGGAGATGGATATCTGGATGGGAGAACAAAGATGGAATCTGTTGTGAAGAATTCAAATACATTCCTTCGATAAGCTGAGTGAAGTCTGGAGGGAAGGTTTTTCCCAGAGCGAGCAGACGAGATGTGATCTCAATGTCCAGCTTCATGCACACCTGCTCTCTATACTTGTACAACTTCTGCAAGTCATACTTCTTCTTTGATTTATGTGCGGTTTCCTTTTTTATTTTCACATGAACTCCTCTGACTCTTGTTGACTTTCTAGCATCACTTCCTTTGTGTCACTTTTTCCCTCCCGTCTGCAGCGCAGTGTAGGGCAGAGGGTTGGTACACCGCTACTTTACACAAATTCTGTCACGCATTCTTGTTATTTGTGAGGGGGAAAACATGGCGAGAAGTGTCGGCCTGTTTTCGTGCCTCCTGTCTAGTTAAATTTCAGCTGCTGCTTGTCCTCTGTCCTCTTGTGTGTGTGTGTGTACGTGTGTGTGTTTGACCTGCTGTGTGTTTAGTGGACCTGCCTCTCCCATTAACATCTTTAAAGTACTGTATTTAACGTCAGTGGCCATTTCACCTGTTTGACCTCAGTTACTACAGGGTTTTCTTTGTGTTTTTATTGAGCAGGTAGTTGAGGTAGACCAGATCCATGGCACAGGAAGTTGAGTCTTTTTAATTACAGCTGAAACAATAGGTTAATGAATTTATCATATTTTTTTAGGATACTTTTTTGTCCTTTCAGGATTTGTTGATGATCCCCGTATAACGGAGCTTCAGATGTGCATTTTTACCACGACGCCACCAAGACCTCCCAATCTAAAGAAAATGTATCTGCAATTTATAGCTTAAATCCATTATCAAGCAAAATGCCAACATGTCTGTGAGGATTTGATGCTTTTCTCTCTTGATAAATCGTCTGTACACTGAATATCTTTGGAGTTTGGACTGTTGGTCAGACAAAAAAAAGCAACTTTAAGGCATCACGTTGGGTTCTCGTGATAAAGTGGCTGCAGGCATTTTCAGGCTGCACTTTGCTGCTAAAGGTTCATGTATCGCCAACTTTTAGTTTGGCTGCACATCACCTAATTATCAAAACGGCCTCTCTGAGCAGCCGCCACAGATTTCCATCGACATTGCATGGCAGCTTGTCGCAGGCCACACTTCGCCGCTGCTCTGGTGTGTTTTCGACATTTGGCAATAATTTGCTGTTGGTAAACCATAACCATTACTTCATTTTATGCTGCTTCAAGGGAAACTTGCCTTGAAGCAGCCATTAACAACATGACAAAAATATGCAGAACAACTTCAAATATATTCATCTGAGCACAACAGCAACCATAGAAACATGAAATGATGGAAAATCGATGAATTAATTCAAGATGCAACTTCAGAAACACAATAGCGCAACTTTAGTATCTGTTGCTTTTTATTTTAGGCAACTTGAGTCTCAGTGACAAAGTTAAAAACTTAAAAGTTCTTGCTTTAAAAGATGATTTTGACCGCTAATACAATCTTAATTGATTGTCGTCCACTAAAATAGTGCCTGTTGAAATTCCCCACAGTCCATTGATTAGCTTGTTTTAGTGATTTAAAAAAATCAAAATAAACAAATTCTGACATTTGAAAAGCTGGAACCAGAAATGTGATTAAATTTGCCTTATTAATACACATTACACATTTCCCCCATCACCTAATGAATCAATTGTTGCTTTCAGCAGCACTCACATGTCACTGCTGCCCACTTGCCTGTACTGCAAATTTAAAGATTTTAACCAGAAAGAATTTCCAGTCTAAAAATAAGTCAATCTTCACAGGAAATAAAGTGTCTCGTGGTCCGTTTTACAGATTTCCATCTGCACACTTAGTGCTACCCAAAACCACCAGCTTCTGCTCCTCCTGCTGTACAATTTAAACCTCCTGTGATCAGCGGAACATTTGTGGTTGCTGCTTGTTCGTCTTTACTTCCAGGTGGCTTATTTTCGCCTGATGAATCATTGTAGCTCTGTAGCTTCCGCGACCCCGCCGACACCGACTTGCTAACTGTCAGAGGCGAGAGCGATGGTGCGTGTGCCGTGAAGGAGAAACCCTTCCTGCCTGTCGCCCCTCTCTAGAAGCTCCATGTTGCTTCTGATTAGTGGGATCTGCCGTCCGACGCTCGCTCTTACGCTCTGCTGCCATCTCAAGTCATTTGTCTGAATTCCCCCAAAACCCCTGAGGGTGGGAGAACCTGAGAGGAGGGAGGGAGGGGAGGCCAGGGTCAGGAGGAGGTGTGTGTGTGTGTGTGTGTGTGTGTCTGTTGGGGGAGGCTGGCTGAGGGAAATATACAGTTTGGTGCAGAGATTCACAAGCCGACTCTGTCCAGGCCGGGCTGTTCAGCAGGGTGGGGCAGCAGATTTCAGAGTTAACACACAGCAGCGGTCGCTCGGCAGGACGAGGCAGCACATGTTCACTTTCTCTCCAGAGTCCCTTTTGTCTCGCTGCAGCTGAGTTTTGACTGATTACAGCAGCTCCCGCTCGAGGGAAGCCTCATAGGAGCTCTTAAAGTCGTTGAGATAACCTCATCCAGTTCAGCGAGGAAGGTGTTCGTCTTAGTTTTGCGATTGTTTAATCTGTTAAATGTCGTAGTGGTGTATGAAAATGTCCGTCACAAAGTTTCTACAACCCAAGGTGACGTCTTTCACATTCTGACATTCTTTTGTCCAACCAACGGCCCAAAACTCAATTCAATTTACTTTCATATAAGACAAAGAGTTGTGAAGCTGGAACCAGAGAATGTTTGCCATGTTTTGCTTGATAAATGTTTGACAAAATCACACAAAATGTTCTACAAGTTAACCGCCTTTGGATGAGAATACTATATGGCTCAAAGTTTTGGCTGTTTTTTATGCTTTTATTTCAGTTTTTATAGTTTTCTGCATTTGTGCTATTTAGACTCATGGCTTTAAAAAAGGAACGCTTTAGCTTTGTGTGAAATATTCTCTAGGGTGCTACCAGCCATGAACTAAAATATTGATAAATAAGTACGGCGCATACCCAAATTCACTTTTTGCATTTAGGGTTTGGTAACAGGCTACGTCCCTTTCATAGATACAAGCGGACATCAGATTGTTTCAGTTATAGCCGATGAAAATGTCCTAACCTGCTCTGCATCAGCCAACAGGCTAAGCGACGTGTCGCTTGTTTGAAAAATTCTCTCTTTCTGGCTTTATTTTCTCTCTAATTTCCGTGTGATTGCTCCACATCCGACCTATTTTTTATTGGTGAAAATTGTTGCGGGTGTTCTGATGTCCTTAACATTTCAGTTTATAGTATGTCTGAAAATTTTTCTGCGCTCTATCTGCCAGAGTTCGCTCGTTCGCTGTACGTCAGGCAGATGTATGAGGGGAACAGGGAGAGAAAGTGATGCAAGAAGTGTCGCACAAAAGCAGTTTCATACACGTTGTGTTCAGGAAACCGTGACCTAAGATATACCATACCATATAACAACATTGTGTTGTTATATGTGTATATACTCGGCATTACAGTAAGAGCTTGTATCTGACTTTAAACTTTAAAAATAAAGTCTTTTATTCCCATGAATAGTTTTTAACAAATGTTCCTGAGTTGTGAAATTTGAGATGCAGGTTTTTCACTAGCAGCGGTTTCTTTTTTCTTCTTTTTTTTTTTGACATATATAATTCCACCTTTTGAGAGTCATAATTACTCACGGGATCAGATCTTGATCAGAGGTTTGAAGATTGAGAGGCTGGTGATTAAGTGAGCTGTGTGTGGTTTTGCAATCCCTCACTCAGTGAGTCATCGGAGAGTCTTTTATCGTTGCCGGGACTGTTGCTGTGTAGGACATGGCTTCTGCGAAGATATAAAGGGGGAGAAGAAAAATAGAAAAGAAAGCAAAAGGGAAGAA